GTTATTTTACCTTCATTTTATACTCTAATATTCTGTGTTGTCTTTTTGCTTTGTTGACCCCTTTGTTGAATATTCATGCTGCTGTAAGACCTGGATTTCTCTCTGGGACTAATGAAGTCAGTCTAAGTCTAAGAAGAAGAGGAAGGGTTTGAGAAGAGAAAGGATAAATCAGTCTGATTTTTACTGCCAATATCTAGTTGGACATGATTGATGCTTTTATTTTGAAATTTGAATGTGGGAACTATTGTTAGTGTTGGTTCTGATGGTGCATTTGTTGGAGTTGCACATTTTCATGATCAGTGCCAGGAGCAGGTAAACTGGCAAGTTGGTAGATACATAAAGACCTCATTTGTGCCTTTTGAAGATCGGATCAGGCAGCGAGTTCGATGGTGGCCAGGTAATGGTGCCAAAGTGGCGAAGTAAAGACGTCAAAGTGTCGTCATAAAAGTGGGTGCCATTGCTGAGAAGACAAATAAAGAGAAGTTTTTGCCATCAGTAAAAATAACTCTGTGTTTGTGAACCCCTGAGACGAGGCAGAAGTGATACTGATAAAATGCTGAAGCCCTAAAACACACGATCAAGTCCAGGATGAAACCAATGAAAGAAGAAAAGTGGAACAATAAAGCGCTGCATGGTCAGTTTCCAAAGGTCCTCGAGAAGCCTCATGTAGATACGATTAAAACCAACAAATGTCACCAAGTAGTCTGAGAGCAGAACCAGAGGAGCTACTGGTAGCAGCTCAAGGCCAGGCAGTACAGGAACAACCACAAGTCAGTGTGGCAGCAGGTGGAGAGCAGAACGTGTTCCCAGCATGAGGAGACAGTGGACCACATCCTGTCTGCTTGTGATTGGCTAAACAGAGGCAGGAACGATGAAGCTGCAGTGGATCTCCACCTCCTGAAGCATCATGACATCGAGCTTACAGACCAGTGGTGTGAGTATGAGCCCGACACTGTGATGCACATAGAGACGACAACAGCGCCATCATGTGGGACCTGCCAGTCAGCACTGAGGGAAGCACAGCAGCAAACAGACCAGACGTCACTGTTAGAGACTCAGCGGGTTCTGATGGACAGGACTGCTCCACCAAACAGAAACATCGCACTAAAGAAACAGAAAAGAAGTACAAAGATGTAGAACTAGAAATACAGAGAATGTGCCAGACGAACACCAACGTGATCTCTGTGGCTGGTGCACTTGGTCCAATACAGAAGAGGGACGGTGGAAACATGGAGAAAGAACCAGAGAACCACAGAGAGCAGAAGGTCAGCAGGAGGACATCTGCACCAGGAAGGTCCTCCTGAAGGTCCTCAGTACAGGAACAGTTAGAGGTAGTGACCTGAGGGACTGATGCCTGCTGCAGGGTTCACACTGAGCTGAGGCACAGAAAGAAGAAGAAGAAGAACAACAACAACAACAACAACAACAACAATAATAATAATAATAAGTGTAAACTGATTTTTAACTGTTATTTTACATTAAAATGCACATTTAAAGTGTGTTTCTTTCACTAATGTCACTAAATGGATCTGATTTTTATTTTTATTTACAGGAATAAACTGAACCTGTTTTCTCTATCGAAGACAAATAATTTAAAAATCATCGATGAATTTATGATATAATTGGTTTTTATCAGTGCTTGTGTCTGATCTGACTGTCAGGGAGGTGCTGGACGGTGCTGGTCCAGCAGGTGGAGTCAGAGTCCTGCTGTTCGGCTCCGTGTCGGTTCTGATTCTTCTCTCTTTTCTCTGTTGAAGCTTTTCCTTTCCATCCATCATCCAGGAACGTTTCTGTCGCAGCTGATGCACGTTTAAACCCAACTGGTGGATTCAGGCGGTGTACAGCAGAAAGTCTGGAGCAGGAGGAGCAGGAGGAGGAGGAGGAGGAGGAGGAGGAGGAGTCCGCGGATCTGACGCACTGAGCGGCTGCCTCCACTCCCCGCTCCGCTCCAGGAAGAGACGCGGCGGTTCGGAAAAGCTCCCACAAACAGACGCATCGAGGCGGACACAGAGAGCCGGAGGACGGCCGCAGCAGGCGATGAGCTCCGCGGTGACGGCCGGAGGACAGCCGCGGCTCCGGGCCTCGGGTTCGGGCCGGACGCCGCAGCTGTGAGCTGCTCTCCGGGCTCATTGTGTGCGGAGTGGCGCAGGAGAAAAGGATGCCTCCGCGGCCGCGCACACTGCTCCCGTTCCCGAACAAAACCCGGATTACTGCCCGACACCGACTGGCTCTCGTGTCCCCGCTGACGGAGCGTGAGATTTCTGCGGGGCTGCGGGCTGCCTGCGTCCCGCTGCCGATCCATGAGGACTCTCCATGAAAACAGGGAGGAGGAGGAGGAGTCCGGCCGCGGCGCCATGGAGGACAAGGAGAGCAATCTGAGGACGGCGCGGCTGTGGAGGGATGCCGCCCTGCGCTCCAGGAAGCTGCGCAGCAACCTGCGCCAGCTCACCCTCTGCTCCAAAGACAACCAGATCGTGCTGCCGGAGGACATCGCCGAGGTGGAGGTGCTGAATCTGGGCAACAACTCGCTGCAGGAGCTTCCGGACGGGCTGGGCTCCACCCTCAACAACCTGCGCGTCCTGGTGCTCCGCAGGAACAAGTTCAGCGCCGTGCCCCGGGTGGTGCTGGAGCTGGGGCAGCTGGTGGAGCTGGACATGAGCCACAACAGCCTGTGGAGCCTGTCGGAGGCGGTGGGTCAGCTGAGGGCGCTGAAGAAGCTGTGCCTCAGCCACAACAAGCTCCAGAACCTGCCGGCCCAGATGGGAGCGCTGCAGTCTCTGGAGGAGCTGGACATCAGCTTCAACGACCTGCGCGACCTGCCGCGGACCTTCTCCGGACTCTGCAGGCTGCGGACGCTGGACGCCGACCACAACAAGCTGAACCAGTTCCCCACCGAGATCCTGGCCCTCGGCGAGCTGGAGGAGCTCGACTGTTCTGGGAACAAGTTCGAGGTTCTGCCGGCGGACATCATGAAGCTGCGCTCCATCAAGATCCTGTGGCTCAGCAGCCTTCACATGTCCTCGCTGCCGGACTCCTTCTGCCACCTGCACAACCTGGAGAGCCTGATGCTGGACGGGAACAGCCTCACCGCGCTGCCCGCCGCCTTCGGTCGCCTGCACAGGCTCAAGATGATCAATCTGTCCTCCAACGAGCTGCAGAACTTTCCTCAGGTCCTCCTGAACATCTCGGGGTTGGAGGAACTCTACCTGAGCAGGAATAAACTGACACACATTCCTGAGGAGATCGGCCAGCTGGTGGCGCTGGTGAACCTCTGGCTGGACAATAACAGCATCACGTACCTGCCCGATTCCATCGTGGAGCTGGAGAAGCTGGAGGAGCTTGTTTTACAGGGTAACCAAATAGCCATTCTTCCAGATAATTTTGGGAAGCTGTCCAAAGTGAACATCTGGAAGGTGAAGGACAACCCTCTGATCCAGCCGCCCTACGAGGTGTGCATGAAGGGGATTCCTTACATCGCCGTCTACCAGAAGGAGCTCGCCCACTCGCAGCTCGCCGTCAAGCCGCGGCTCAAACTGGTTCTGATGGGGACCAAGAACGCCGGGAAAACCCGTCTGCGGCGGAGCGTGGTGAGCACGCAGCAGGACGCCAAAGGAACGCAGGGAAACAAAGGCATCGAAGTCACCAACTGGGTGGCGGACGCCGACCGCCACCTCACCTTTCTAGTGTACGACTTGTCAGGGAAGCAAAACTACGACCTCATCAAACCCTTCTTTCTCTCCCCCGGTGCTCTCTACATCCTCGTCGTCAACCTCAAAACCTATTCTCCCAAGAACTTTTACGCCCACGTCGGGTATTTCCTCCACCTGCTCTGCGCCAAAGTGCCCCACGCCGTGGTGTGTCTGGTGGGAACACACGCCGACCTGTGTGGGGAGGTGGAGCTGGAGGAGAAGGGCCTGGACATCCACCGGCAGATCGGGCTGCAGGAGCAGAGGGACGTGCAGAACCTGAGGAGCCTGGCTCAGCAGGTGGACCGGGCTCTGGACCTGGGCTACAGCGTCCGCACCTCCAGCCCTCACGTCCTCTTCTACGGCGTCTCGGACCGCAGCCTGAGGCGCAGGAAAGCCCAGCTGCAGTACATGCTGAACCACCGGCTGCAGATCCTGTCTCCCGTCCTGAGCGTCAGCTGCACCGAGACCCAGAGGAACGTCCAGAGGCTGCGGGAGAAGCTCATGTCGGTCGCCGACCACCGCGAGATCTTCCCCAACCTCCACCGCGTGCTGCCCAAGTCCTGGCAGATGCTGGAGGAGCTGCACTTCAAGCCCAAAGACCTGTGGTTGTCGTGGTGGGACTCGGCCCGTCTGGGCCTGCAGGCGGGGCTCACCGAGGACCGGCTGCAGAGCGCCTTGTCCTACCTGCACGAGAGCGGGAAGCTGCTGTACTTCGAGGACAGCCTCACGCTGAAGGAGTACGTGTTTCACAACCTTCCGCGGTTCATCGCCATCCTCAACGTGTTCTTCCAGCGGGACGAGTCCACGCTGCTGGACCGGCTGCTGTCCGAGGGGGAGCGGGGGGACAAGGGCCGGGTGAGTCTGGTGATCGAGGACGAGAAGGGGGAGAACCTCAGGGTGACGCACCTGCAGCACCACGTGGAGGGCTTCCTGCAGCACGGCCTGCTGCCCTCCAACGTCATCCGGCTGCTGCTGCGGCCGCTCATCCAGACGCAGCAGGACCTGCACCTCATCATGGAGCTGCTGGAGAAGATGGGCATCTGTTACTGCATCAACAAGCCCCGCAGCAAACCTCTGAACGGCGCCACCGTGTGGTACAAGTTCCCCAGCTACGTCAGCAGCGAGGAGCCCCGGGCCGAGGCGGCGTCCGGCGCCGGCTCCCTGCCTCACTTCTTCTCCGTGGAGCAGCTGCACATCCAGTACAGCTTCCCCTTCCTGTTTCCTCCCGGACTGTTCTCGCGCTTCAGCGTGCAGATCAACAGCCACGTGGTGCAGCGCTCGGACGGCCGGTACCAGATCTTCGCCTACCGGGGCAAAGTCCCGGTGGTGATCAGCCACCGGCCGTCCAAGGGGAGGCTGCAGGCGGAGACTCTGTCCATCGCCAGCCACGCCTCGCTGCCCAACATCTGGACGGCGTGGCAGGCCGTGACGCCGCTGGTGGAGGAGCTGAACATGCTGCTGCAGGAGTGGCCCGGCCTGCACTACTCCGTTCACATCCTCTGTTCCAAGTGCCTCAAGAGAGGGTCCACCAACCCGCACGCCTTCCCAGGTGAGTCCTCCTGCATCCCACACGTCATATGAATACAAACACACCTCCTCAGAACATCTGGTTCTGGTTCTGCAGAACCTTTGTCTACTGACCAGAGTTCCAGGTCCTTGAAGTCCACAGAGGAGGGTCCAGATTGATCACTTTAATGGACTTTCATCAGAACAGCAGATAGACACATGACATTTAGGAGGAAGAACACATCTGGGTTCTGGTAGAACCTGACACCAGATCAGTTCTACATCCATCCAGGTGTCTCAGTCTGAACACTGGACCTGGTTCTGTTCATGTGCTCTGTCAGCAGCTGGTAGCATCAGTATTATGGGATGGATCATGGTTTATATCATACTGCATGTTTAGATATGATGAATAAAGAAACACGTTAGACACACGGAGCGATCAAACCGTGAACCTTAGAGATAAAAGAACCCTCCACAGAGATGGTGAACCATCTCCA